GTGAGATGAGACTGAAGTTTACATATCATTTTTGAATCACAGTCACCTTTTTACAGTTACTCCAAACTAATAAAAGTAACTGACCAACCAAAATGAAATACTTTTACTGTTTCACATGGGGCATAGAAGCAGAACTTGAGTTCAGGTGAAAATGTGTTGTATTTTCCTCCCACAGTGAAGGAAAGGGAGTTCATCATTGCCTGAAAAGACAATGAATAACTAAGCCATGACAGAGTGGGAATGCCTGCTTTGATGGCAGAGTCTTTCTGGTCTGGTAGTTTTCTACTGTTCCTTCATAACACAGCAATCTGTGTTTCACAATAAAGTCTAAGCTTTAAAAGCCTTAATGCTTTCTGACAGTAGAAGTATGAATTATATGCAGCGTTTGTGCTTGTTGTGAATGGCTGATGTATCTGTTGATTAAGTGAAGGTCTCATCACGGTAGTAGTTTGAAAGGAGCCATACAAAGAATTCTGTATTTTTGCCTAATTTTCTAAGCAACATTTTGTTTTCATAGTCCTCATGAAATTTAAACTGTGCTTGAAAAAAACTATCTCACCTCAGCAAGAACACATTTTTTTCATCCACTTCTTGCTAATTGCTGATGCAAAAGAGAAATGAGTCCAACTGTACAAGTACAGCATATCAGACTGCCAAGTCCTATGTCATAGTGCACTTAAGTTTGCCAAACTTCGTTTGCAATACCGGAACCAGGTCATCATTTTCTTCAGCAAAATACCAGCTGAATCTTATTATCACAAGTTTGAGTTTGTAGAAGGAACTCTAGTATAGACATAATTTTCTACTTTTTGCAGTAGATGTGTAAATCATGAAAAGGATTCATGCTTTCGGTCTCCAACCAAAATCTATTTACAGATGCAAAGGATTGGGCCCTCAGGAAATTAGTGCTTTTCATTGACACCTTGTGGAGCTCAAAATTGGAATACTTACCTACTCCACTGCACTACTTTGCCCTGTCCCTATTGGACCTTGACCCTCAGATCTGCTCTTTTTGCCCCTCATTTAACCCTGTGCCCTTAGCCCAGTCTTTGCTTCTCATCTCTGCACCTATTTGAAACTGTGTTCAATAAACCAGTTGTTGGATTGCCAAATGAGAGCCCATCCCTTTGTCTTAAATTGTCAACATTTTCTGCGGTGTGCTCTGGGCTCAGAGGTGCAGGTCACTCTCTGGGATCTCATTGCGGCACACACCATAACACTGGGATGGAGCATGCACAGCTTCTCTGGGCATCTTGTTCCAGTGCCTCACCACCTTCACAACCTAGTAGGTTTTAAAGCAGCGTCTTACTTGTCCATAATATTTTTCATCTATGAAATCTCAATACTTCCAAAAATTATTACAGGTGCTCTACTGATGAATGAATGCAAAATAATGAGAGACACACTCAGAGAACATTCTTCTATGCTTGAGACTTCAGTTTAGTCCTGAAGCTTATGATTTGTTCATTTAAGTCTCTTTGAAATCATCTTTTCTACACTTGATTCTTGAGAGTTCTCAGTAATTTCATACCAGAGCAGTCAGAGTCAGGCATCACTGTTGAATGTGCTGAGCCAGTCATCTCAGAAAGTTGTCTGGTTGGTTGTGTCATTTTCTTCTATGTAAATACATGCTGGCTATTTCCAGCCACCTTCTTGTCCTTCACATGTTTAGAAATGCTTTGTAAGGCTGATTGCTCCAACACCTTCCCAAGAGCTGGTGTGATACAGACTGGCCCATGTTTTACTGGGTTCTTCGTCTTGCCCTTCCTGAGGGTAGCAGTGACATTTGCTTTCTTCCAGTCCTCAGGAGCTCTCCCATTGCCATGACATTTTGTTAATTGTTAAGAGTGTTCTTGGAATGACATCAGCTGGATCCCTGGGTACTCATGGGTACATCTCCATCAGGGCCCACAGACCACTCTCTGTCCAATTTCATGTTTCCCGGCCTGCTAGTTTTCTGCCAGAAGTCCTCCTTGTGCCAGAATTTGGCATAGATTTTAGGGACCTCAGACTACTGACGACAAGTCTTTCAAGACAGAGAAAAAGAAGGCAGTGAATACTTTGGTCTTTTTTCATGGTGAAATGGCTGTCTCACCAAGGCTATACACTGCATAGCAAGAAAGAAACAGTTGTACCAAATGCTGCATATCTTATTTTATTTGACAGCATCAAAAAATTCACATTTTACTCAGCATTTTACCATCGACTTTTTTATTCACAAAGTATATTGAAACACTTCGTTGTTTCACTGTAAAACCATTACATGGGTTGCTAAATCTGTCTCCACCAGAATGCAAACTTGATTCCAAAGTGTCAAATACTAAATTCATAAGGCAGAATTTTCAAGCAACTTTTGAGTAGAAAGGGGAAATATACAGGATTTAGAGGTTCTTGGTAATATGAATTGTTTTTAGCAGTGTGACATATTTATGCTGGACTTGAGAGCAGAACTTTAAGAGCATGCAAATGCATTTAGGCTTCTACAGGTGTCTTCTTTTGACTCTGCTCAGCAAGACCTGGGCAGCTCTGCTACACTGCTTGGCTCAGAACACTAGAGGGCACTTGTGTAGCTCTTAGAGTAACAGTGCTCCTGAAAGGCTTCATAAGACAAAATATTTCGTGTCATGCCAGTTCAGGAGTTAGGCAGATTCTTTAGAGTACAGCAGCCA